TTTTCTTCTCAAAGTTGTTTTAGGAAAGTCAGGAACTAAAGTGCTTTTTTCTTTTTAATAAGTTTTTAAATTGAAGTACAAAGAGCTATGGTTGTTATAGTCCTGTAGAACAGTTTCCCAATTTAAGAAAATTTTTCTTACTCATAAATGAACAGTAAAGAAAAAATTTTATTCTGTTGTGAAAATTTTATTCTGTTTTATTCTATTTCACATAATGAATACTACGTTAGCATTATTTCATTATGCATAATAATAAAGCACTGTTCAACTTTATTCCTAGTGTTTAAATTGCCTAACTTGATGCAGCACAAAAGATTTCTTACTAGATTACCTAGAATATGTTTTTACTGAAAGAAATGTATACATTGTTTAGATAATGTACATTGCCTAGGAACCATCTTATTTAAAAATGCTTTTAAAAACCTTTAATATTTTAAACTTTAAAGTATAGAAATACTATTTTCCAGCCCTTCTTCTGGGCATACAAACATGGGTAAGACATGATTTCTGTAGCTGAAAAGCTTACATTTTAGTGAAAAAGTTATATGTGTAGGCAGGTACCTATAACAAGGTTTTAAGAAGTATCATTGAAGTTAACCTAAATAGCTAAGGGAGCACAGATGGGGGAATGATTAAATGTAACCTTGTAGAGGAGAGGAAAGGTAAAAGAAAACTCTGTTGTTTCCTTTATAAAATCAAATGAGGTCTTCTTTGTGTTGACTGATGATCCTAATATTTTACTGTTAGAAATTAGACATGCTTCCTTCTGGGATTTTTTTCCCTACATAGATCTTTTGTTTACAACTCATTACCTTTTGGTTCTAACAATTGGAGTTAGAAAAGCTGGTTGAGGGACGCCTGGGTGGCTCAGTCGGTTACGCGTCTGCCTTCACTCAGGTCATGATCCCAGGGTCCTGGGATCAAGCCCCACATCGGGCTCCTTGCTCAGCAGGGAGACTGCTTCTCCCTCTCCCTCTGCTTGTGCTCTCTCTGTGTAATAAATAAAATCTTTAAAAAAAAAAAAAAAAAAAGAAAAGCTGGTTGATGAGTAATCCTCGAAGGGAAAGATGAATCCAAGTGTCAAGATTTGAGTCCTTGGGGATTCTTTTGTCTTTGGGCTTAGAGCACCAGGATGTAATTTCCTAATTTCTACAAGGAAACTGCAGGTGTTTGTTTGTTTGTTTGTTTAAGGCTTCACACAGAAGTCACCATCCAAGCTGTGCTTTGAGAGATAAGTAGAATTTTCCAAGTAGGGGAAAGGTATTATGGGCAGAGGAACAGTCGGATGATGAGAGTAAGGGAGAGTAAGAAAATGGGGCTGACGCAAGAGTATTTTAGTCTGTGGAGCAGGGTGAATGGTGATACTGTTAAGTAAGGAGGGGAATACAGAAATAGAATTGGGAGCTGGAGTGGAATATGATCTCTCTTCTGGGCATGTTAATTTGGGAAGTTTTTGGGAATTTCAATAATTGATATTTTTCATTCTTTCCCCTGAAAATTATTAATCACCCTATGTGCCTAGGTGTCAAGAACAGAGACATAAGAAACAACATATTCTCAAAAGGCTTACAGACTCTTGGAAAGAGAGACAAGGCAATAATTACAAAACACATTTAAATATGCTGTGATAGAAATGATCACAGCTTGGTGACGGGGAACTTGAGAGTTTTGATCACCTAATGGACGCTGAAGCTGGGAATGGGGAGAAGGAGAGATGAAGGTTAGGAAAGAATTCCTGTGAAATTGCCTCATGAGACGCAAATGTTGTTTTGCTGTGTGAGTTAACAAGATGGCAGAAGGTGGAAAGAGGGGACAACATTTCAGGCAGAAATATTTGCTTATATGAAGCCTTGGAAGTGTGAGTGAATAACCTACTTATGGTTTAATTTAACTGGTAGGAACTATGGTAAGTGGGGATTGATAGGGTCCTGCAGATCATGTGTGTCTTGATTTTGATCTTGAAGCCAGTCATGTTGGTAGTGTTAGGAAGTTAGTGAAGGCTTTAAAGTAGGGGAATGACTTGATCAGATGAGATGCCCAGCAACCACTTAAAGCTATGAGCTGTATCTCAGAGAAGTAGTTGGTGTTGGGAGTATAAATCTAACTATGGGTTACCATGATGGATAAAAAATGCTTCTTGCTCAGTTGTGGAGACAGACAGGTAAGCAAAAATTACATTACAGTATGCACGTACTGTAGTGTGAAGTGCTGTGGATTGAGGAGGAAGTGATTTTGGGACATGCATTTAGAAGTCATTGGTATAGGTGGTATTTGCAACTGAGAATGCTGATGAGATTTTTCAGGGAAAGAATTTAAAAATAGGAATGAATGAACTAAAGGTAGAATTCTGGAAAAATGCAGGCTTCATAGGGTAATGGTTGAAGAAGAATTGTCTAAAGCTATGATTTTAGCAATGTGGATTGCAACTTACTAGTAGGTTGCAAAATCAGGACAGTGGATGTGAACTTAATATGGTTGGTTATAGACAGAATTTTCAAAACAGATTAGGGGAGAATAGAAAATATCAGTAATTACTGTCTTGTGAAATTTTGTTCAGAATTGTGTGTTTGTGCATGTGTGTAAAATGCATATCTCATTATAAGTGGTGGTCACAAACTTTTGAAAAACACTGATAAAAGAGACTAAGGAAGAACAGTCAGAAATTGCTAAATCACTTTTGTTCTTCACTAATCTGATGGCAAGGGAAAGAAACAAACCCAGTGAAAGTTCAATGAGAAGGAGATTTTCTCTTTGTGGTTCAGATGGGCTCCCCCTAGGCCACCTTTATTACCTCAGTTGTATAGGAGGAAAAATCGAAAGAAATAAGGGAAAAGGACTCACAAGATTCTAAACTCGAAGACAGAGAGGGAGATAGAGAATATGAATGAGAGAGAATGAACCCACATGGAAGCTGAATTTTTAATCTAACCCTACTGTGTGATAGCAAAAGCTCCATTCCCTAGCACATGGCCCAGCAAAGCCCCTTGGATTCATCCTACTATTTCAGCTCTGTTCTTTATTATGGAGCCAGAGGAGGAACCTGAGGAAGGACGCAAAACTACCTGTCATTAAAATTGTGATGTAGTATTACCAATAATAGAGATTACTGAGAGCTTGTCTATGGGTCAAGAACTGTTCTATCTATGCACTTGAAGTGAATGATCTTACCAACTAAGTTAATATTTGTAAAGCTCTTAGAACAGTGCCTTGCACATGGTAAGCACTCAGTTGTCTGGTTATCATTAATAGAACAGTGCACATGGTAAGCAGTTGGTCAGTATTGGCTATTATTGTGTATTATTACTAATTAGCTAAGTTACTAATTATCACCACTTTACTAGTAAGGAAATGGAAGCATAATAAAATTAAGTAACTTGCTCACAATCATATAGCTGGAAAGAAATGGAATCATTCCTTTCTGAGTGGAAGGTGAAAGTGATTAGTGTAGATACATGGTGAGTTATATGACAATTGGTGCTTGAAGTACGTTAATGGGCGAGGGAAGAGGAAAGATGGGCCATAAGTGAAAGACTTCGTGAAGAGAACAATACTCCTTGGCTTGGTGATTGGTTAGATATGAAGTAAAAAGATAACCAACATTTTAAGCTGGTCGACTGGGAAAATGATAAATAAGATGTAAGAAAGTAAGAAAGAAAACCTTTCTTGGTAAGAAACAATGACAAATTCCATTTAATTGTGTTGAATTTTACATGAGATAGTCAAGTAAAAGGAGTAGCCCAGAATTTAAAAATAAAGATAGAGATACTTAGGCATTATCACATAAAAGAGTTGATAGAAGCCGTGGGAGTATTTGAGATCTTCAGAAATGTCCAATATATTTTGGCCACAAGAAAACCTGGGGAGTAAAAAATAAGATCATGGTAATTGCCCCCACACAAAATTTCTACAGCTTTGCCCACATCGGCTTTGTGGAAATCTACGAATAGTTCCAGGAATCTTTGAAAGAGAGCGTATCACTTCTGCTCTGGGGGCTGGCTGTTGTGTGGCATGCAGTTTTCCTGGCTCCTGCCCTGGGCTGTGCCTGTCTCTTCGTGCTGCCCCTGTCAGTGAGGGCAGAGAGGCTCCGCTGCGGTTTGGCACCTTCCCTGCTGCCACAGAGACTGTGGTTTCCCCTCATGGCATTCTCAGAGACCCTGGAGGGTCAATGGCAAGAAGGCTCTCCCAGTTTTTCTTATTCTCTTCTTATTTGCTCTGTTCCCACCTCAGGTTTCAGACTTGCTATTCACTGGCTTTTTCGGCACCGCTGTCCAAGTGACAGGTGTGTTGGCTTCGTGGTTCCTCAATCAAATTTTTATGCCTAGATGGTTCCCGACCTTCAGATGAATTCTTACACAAATGTGTCTCAGTTTTTGCCCCATCAGTCCTTAGGCACATCTAGACTCATCTGAATCCTAGGGTGAAGGTCACTTACTAGGTTGAAACTGGGACCAGGACCCTCACTCCCTGCTCTCTCTAGAAGAGAGAGGTCAGCATGGGAAATGCCCACATCTTCCATAATTGTCCCATCCCTTGTTCCTTCTGCTCCCTTTTCTTCTTCATATGGCTGTTTCCCTGGTTGATTGGAGATTATTTCTTCTTTTTGCCAAATGGAACAGTGATGTGCACTCCTGTGGAATTAGATCCCATCTGAATATTCCGTTGGGAGGTTTGATTCATTTCTTCCTTTTTTTTTTTCTTTAAATAATCCTTCTTAAAGCTTTTCATACCTCTTTACTGGAGCTTAGTAAAAATTTGAATATCTAGCACATTTTCCTTTCAAGTAGATATTGGTAATGTATTTTTCCCCTGGTTCACCTGTGAAGAATACCGATGAGTCTTTTTGAAAACTCATCATTGGCAGTTACTTTAGAACAGCAATTTATTGAAAGCTACTATATTAGAAATGTTTTATTGCACTGCACTAGAGCTATGAAGTGCAAGGAACCATGAAGATTGAAAAATACAAATGATAGATGTGTCTCTTTCTCCTTATTTTTTAGCCTTCTTTGAATCCTGGGGGGAGTCAATCATCTGATGTGGTGCTTTTGAACCATTGGAAAATGAGGAATTTTGAAGTACAACGTGGTGACATTGTGTCATTGGTGTAAGTAAATCAGAAACATATTTGTATATGAAATTATTTATAATTGTCTGATTTAACTGGTAATTTGCTGTTAATATCATTTGCCAATTATTAAATTAATAGGTACATTTTAAATGTAATATATTTTTAAAAATCAATTTTGAAATGTAATAATGCTATAAGAAAGGATTTTCCTTTTATGTCTAAAATATATCAGTTGGTTGACATACTTGAATTTGGTAAAATGTCTTTAATGATATGTAGATTAGAAATTATATTGATGATCTAAAATACATGTATTTGGTATCAGTTTGGATTATTCTGAAGTTTTGCATCTTGGAAGTAACCTTAATGTTACTTCATTTTTGTTAGTGTGTGTAGGTACACAATATTTCTAGAAGTTGATAATTGCGACATGAAATTCAGTGACATTTCTATGTAAGTCTCAGTGATTGAACTGAAATAAGGCAGTTTGGAAGATTAGTAGACTGGAGGCTTTTGTTTGGGACCAAAAGATGGCACTGTTTCTCTGTTAAAGTATTATGACTGGTCAGGAACAAGAATTTCATTCCGGTCTTAAAGTAGAAGAAGAATGTCAAAGTGTGCATAACTGATGCAATGATATAATACATAGTCCCAGCATGTGCTCGAATGGTTTAGATTTGAGATTTGTTTGTTTTAAAAGTAAATTCACACTGAGGAGCCTGTAACAGAACTTGCCTGATTTCTTCTGGTTTCAGCTACTTATAAAAATTTTTTCCTATGCTTCCCTGTGATGGTAGTTAGTGCATCGGGGTAGCAATTAATATAGCAGTTACTGTCATTTGTTTTAACGTTAGTAAAATCCTGGTGTTTGGTGAAGACTTCCAATTTATATTTCTTTTTCTTTAATTGGAATGATTGTTTTTTTGTTGGATGAGAATATAATTGTTTGGTAAACATAAAACGTGATCTGCTTGTCCATACTTAACCTTTGGCTAGCCCTTTGTGGAAATAGACGTTTCATAAATGTGTCTCCTTCAAGCCTGTTTTACCAGGATTCATTTGAAAACATATTAACTAAATCTGATTAGTAACTAATAAAATAAATACATTTGAGTGAGGTTTTGTATGGCAGACATCCAAGGATGGGGATTAAATGCTTCTCATGTTCTTGAGTGCTTTCTTTAATATTAACCTACTCTTTGGACTCTACTTTTATTTTGTCATTCAGAGTACTTTTTTTGCAACCTCCTTAACAACCTTTTCCATGCTGGGTTAGCCTGTTGTGTGCTCATTATTCTTTTGCCTTTGGTTTGACAAGGTTACATTCTCACTTAGTCGGTGATGGAGAGGATACCCACCCAAGTGAAAGAGGTCACACCATAAGCAGACAACTGTGCAGTTTTTTTTTTTTCCCAAGAGAAACACGCTGGCTATCTCTAAGCAAGTAAATCTGAATAGGTAATTGGGGAATAAAAAAAGGCTCCTTGAAATTCAGGGTTGCATGGGTCTATAAAAGTATGCTAGCATATCATGGACTATGTGAAAAAGAGAACACTATTCTCTTATGTAAATATTAAACTAATTAATATTTATTATATAAATTAATTTAAAAATAGTATATCTAAATTGGGGTTGATATAATAAATTATAGCTCCTTGGGTTGAGCTGTATTTTTAATGAGTTAATTATGTGCTGTATCTCTGACATGTACAAATAACGCAAATTTTCTTTTATAATGCTTGTTGCTAGAAGGAGCCATTTACATAAAAGAATGCTTAGTGATTGGTGTTGTTATTTAACAACAAATAATCATTAAGCAATGACTTTTTTTTTTGAGAAAGGAAGAAGTCTTTTGCTAAATTCTTTTTTAGCATGATGTAATACTGTATAAAAGACATTCAAAGTATCTTTTTAGTTTTATGAGCAAAAATGCTTTCTAAATGTCCTTATTATTTTATACATTTTATAACTGCTTCATTTGAAAAGATTGATGTTGGTTTGATCAATGTTCATGAGTATATATTTAATTCATGTCAACACCGAATATTTGCTTTTCTTACAAAATGTATCAGTCTGGTTTTAACTTAGAGATAATTATCATTATTATATCAGAACATTCTATTTAAGAAATGTGTAATTCAAGAAATGCGTGACTAAATTTGAATTTAAGGCTAAATAGAAACTGTAGTTTGTCATTCTGTTTACAAAAGGATATGGCACATTTCATTGATACATTAAATCTTTGGGAATAAGGTAGTAAGACAATTTATATTTAAAAAATATCCTGGGACAGTGTTTTATATATTCAATGTATGTGGAAATACAGCATTTTAATTATAATATTATATGTACATTTCTGGAAAATTGCAGTTTGCAAATTCATAAAGTAGTAGGGCTAATGCAACTTTGTAACTAGAGCACTAATGAAAACAATAACAATTCAATAAAACTGCTAGCACAGTTTAAACGACATGAAATTTTTTATAAATAAGCATTGCAGTAAATGTAGGATTTATTTAAAATGACAAAGCTGAAGGTAACTTGAAGGCAATGTAAGGAAGGGTTGAACTTGTCTATGTATACAAGGGCAGAGGGACATTTTCATCAGAAGTTACAAATAGAAGATTGCAAGCTTTGTACAAAATGTACTGATACCAGAGGCGTATCCTCTGCTCATTGGTCAGTGTTACCTTACTTTATTTATTTATTTACATGTATATATATTTAAAACAAAGATCAGAGTTAACCTTTCAGTAAGCACTTGTAAGAGAAGGATTGAATATATAGTACTGATTCCTTCCTGGCTTATTGCCATTAGCGTACTTAGCCTTCAGTTGCTATTATTAAAGAGGCAACGCATTACTGATCTTGGAAAAAATTCCATATGAACTAATGCAGCTTCTGCTTTATACTGAAACCCTTTCTCCATAGTCCCTGTGAGCTGATTCATGTTGCAGAAACACATGCTGTAGTAGAACAGACTTTCTTTTCTATTGCAGTGGGTTTTGTTCGGAACTTATTGACACAGGCTGTTCCCTAAAGCGTGGAAGGACTGAGGGGGTACATATTAGTATATGCTTCTTTGCATCTCTTCCTTATCTTTTCTTGTCACTTTCTTTCTGTGAAAAGTTAGTCTCAGTGGAGCTAATGTTTAAGCATGTTATTCGGTAACGTTAAATAAAAAAATATATTTATTTAATAACATTACTCGTCACATAAAACATTATTTGCTGTCGTCAGGTCCTTGGTATTACTGAGCGTATGTAGGTGACATCATACACTCTTAGTGGATTTGCGAACTAATAGTGGTGATTAAGGTGGATTTTTGATACCTTGGAATTGACTTTTCATTAACTTGTGTGATGGCCTTATTGCAATAGGCTTAACATAAGTAGCATATTTACAGTGACATATCCGTTGGTAAATCCACTGGGACAGAGGTGCCTTCACAATAAAGTTTCAAATAATCACACTTAAATGTTTTTTAGCTTTTTATTTTGAAATGTTATTAGACCTCAAGAAAGGTCATAAAAATAGTATAGAGAATTCCCATATAACTTCCAATGTTTTTTTTTCATCTTTATTGATGTATAAATGTGTCTGTGTGTGTGTGTGTATGTGTGTGTATAGTGATAGGATTCACCCCACTGAGTTAATTAACACATCTGTCACCTTACATATTTACCTTTTGTGTGTGAGAACATTTAAGTTCTACTTTCTTAGCAAATTTCAATGAAAGAATACAGTGTTATCAGCTGTAGTCACCATGTTATCTAGTAGATCAGCAGACTCTTCATCTTATACCCCCCTAAATTAACATTGTACATTACCATGGTACAATTACTGAGATGAAGCTGACACTGATACAGTACTATTAACTAACTCACAGACCTTATGGGAGTTTCACCAGTTTTTCCACCAAGGTCTTTTTTCTGCACCAAGATCCTACACAGGATCCCATATTTCATTTTGATTTTTTAATCTCTCTAGTCTCCTCCAATCTGTGATAGTTCCTCATTTGTTCTTTGTCTTTTTTGATCTTGACACTTATTTTGTAGAAAAATCCTTACCTTTAGAAGTTTCAGGTCGGTGTATGTTCCAGTGGAGACATTGCTATTGATGGCACTTGCTGGGGAAGCCGTAGTTGTGGTAAGCTCCGGGCGGAGGAGACAAGGCCAGAGAAGGAAACTCTCTCACCTAAGTCATTTTGGTTTCTGAGGATCACATACTTGGGTCACGACTAGGAGACCCCATGGCTTCCAGAAGTCCACACAGTCACGTTTACTGCTGCTAGAAAGCAAGGCGGGAGAGCCATGGAGAGCCATGCAGATGGGGGAAAGGCTAAAGTTTATAGTACAGATAGAAGAGAGGGAACTAAGGCCGGGTCACAGATAATACGATACTGAGCCCATGTTCAGTTCTAGAGTAGAAGGTGAGGGTGGGGAAATTCTCATTTAATGAGCACCCCTGTGTATCAGGCATTGTGCCATGCACTGTGTGTATGCCATTTTTACTTAATTCTCATAACAATATCTGGAAATGGTTATTTTTAACACAGTGAAAATGAGATTTAGCAAGTAAATAGCAAGTGAATAGCAGAGCCAGAATGCGAATCCAGGTCCACTTAACTCTGAACTTGTCCTGTCTGACGTAGCAGGCAAATGTGGCTGTTGAGCAGCTAAAGTGGTTACTGCCCCTTGTTAAAATGATAATATTTTAGGTATATTCAGTCAGATAAAATACATTATTAAAATTAACTTAAAGGTTTCTTTTTCTTTCTTTTTTTTTTTTTAAAGATTTTATTTATTTATTTGACAGAGAGAGACACAGTGAGAGAGGGAATACAAGCAGGGGGAGTGGGAGAGGGAGAAGCAGGCTTCCCGCGGAGCAGGGAGCCTGATTTCGGGGCTCGATCCCAGAACTCCAGGATCATGACCTGAGCCGAAGGCAGATGCTTAACAACTGAGCCACCCAGGCACCCCTCTTTTTCTTTTTTTAACGTGGCTAGTAGAAAATTCAAAATTAAACATGTGACA